CTTCTCCTCTCCACTGTGCCTTCCTTGGCCATTGCTCTAGGAATTCTGGAGCATTACTTCTGTGCATTTCATTACAGACAAAAACAGATTCCCCTCAAATTACATAGACAAAGGTCAAAGAGGTCAAAGTGACTTCCATTTATTGAAGAATTTGCAAGAATGAACCCTTCCTATTTCCCAGTCTTGATGCCATAAGGTATCCAGCACCCCAGTCTTAGAGAGGGAAAGATCTCAGCATTTTACCATTAAGTATAATGTTTGGTGGGAGAACGTGACATTCATCAAGAAAAGAAAGTTCCTCTTTAGTCCTAGTTTGCTGTGGTTTTTACCTTGAATGCATGTCAAATCACGTTAAATGCTTTTTCTGCATTTATTCAGATTATTATGTAATTTTTCTCTTTTAATCGGTTGATGTGGTGGATTACATTGATTGATTTTCATGTTAAACCAAACCTTGCATTCTTAGGATAAACGTATGGATTACATTCTTGGGAGACTATGTACTGCATTCCTGGGATAAATGATGTATCATTTGGATACATTTGCTATATTTGTTTTGCTAACACTTAGTGAAGAATTTTTGCACTCATGTTCATTAGTTAGAATGCCCTTGGACGTTTTCCTCATAATTTTCTTGTGAAATGAGGAGTGTTCTCTCTTTTCTTCAATACCCTGGCATATTTTGCATAAAAATGGAATTATCTGTTCCTTGAATGTTTGATACAACTTGCCGGTGAAACCATTTGGGCCTAATGTTTTCTTCATGAGGATATTTTAAGCTACCATTGGAGGTAGGGTCTATAATTGAGGCCCCACAGTCTGGAATCCAGTTATAATCGAACATTTCTGAAATAGAGGCTATGCACGGGCTAATGGACATGGACTTCCCCTTACCAAGACTGACCTGGCTGCCACCACTGCTGAGTGTTACCCTGCTGACAATAGAGGCCAATACAGAGTCAGCAAGATAGCAGCATTCCCTACAGAAACCAGCAGAAACCTGGTGGCTCACAGGAAAAAATACACATTTCAGATACGAGTGTTCCTCCTCTGCCCACAAAGCTTCTGCTAGCATCACCATTTGTGGACTTAAAGAACGTCTTATTTATTGCCATAAAACATTGCCTCCAAACAAGGAACACATCTTGCCACAACGGCATGTCACAATGATATAGCAAGAGGCTCACACCCAGAGAAGTCTCTGCTTTTACCATGTGCCCGTCACTCAGAATCAGCTGGCTTTATAGCATGAAGCCACAGCCTGCTGAAGGCTTATTTTTAGCCTCAGCTGGGAGACAACACCTATGCGGTTGGGGTTCTTCCCCACAGGAAGCGGTGTACGCCAGAACGTACCAGTCTGAGAACCAGGGGGTGGAAGTGGGTGTAGTGATTACATCTACTAACTCATTTAGGGAATTTTTGCTACGAGCCACCATCACCTCGGGCCCAGTAGGTTTGGAAGTTCTAATACCCCAAAATTGTCATGATGCTATTAAACTGGAAGCCAAGGTTTCCTCCCGGGCTTTTTGGGCTCCTCAGGCTGCCGAATCAACATTCAGAAAAAGGTGGTCACTGTAATTGCTGGGTGATTGATCCCGACTGAAGGTTCTGCACCCAATTCCAACAGTGTGTGTTTTTCCCCCCACATCACCAAGCAATTCTCCAACAACAGATGGGTATCCTACAATTCAACTCAATTCTAACACTGTTTACCCGGAGACAGCAGCAGACTCCACAGGTTGAGGGCTCACTCCCACAAGACCGCACTCCACTTCAGATGCCAATCTCAAGCCCAGGTTGTTATCTGTGCTTCTGACTGAATGGCTGTAAATTGGAGGTTCCCACGATCCCCTTCTTGGGTTCAATTAATTTGCTAGAGTGGCTCACAGGACTCAGGAAACCAGTTTACTCACTAGATTACTGGTTTCTTACAAAGGATATTAAGGGATAGAAATCAACAGTCAGACGAAGAAATACATAGGGCAAGGTCCCAAAAGAGCTTTTGTCCTCAAGGGTTTGGGGCCTGGAGTGGTGGTACATGAAAGTGTTCTGGTTCACCAAGCTGGAAGCTGTCTGAACCCCCTCTTTTTGGGTTTTTATGGAGGCTTCATTACATAGGCTCATTAATGACTGATTAAATCACTGGCCATTGGTGATTGGTTCAACCTCCATCCCCTTTCTCTTCTCTAGAAATCTGGGGGTGGACTGAAAGTTCCAACCCTCTATTCGTGGTTGGTTCCCCTAGCAAGCAGCCCTCCCCATTTTTAGGAGATTTCCAAAAGTCACCTCAGTAACCTAAACTCAGTTGTGGTTGAAAGGAGCTTGTTATGAGTAACAAGACACTCATTTCACCTTTACTGTTCTGAAGTGGTTTTTTTTTTTTGAGGCTGAAGACAAGAGAGCAAATAATATAACAAAAGATGCTCCTATTGCACTTATTGCTCAGGAAATTCAAAGAGTTTTGGGAGCTGTGAACTAGGGACGGGGACTAAGACTAAATATTTATGAAAAATATATATTTAGTCATCTGAGTGACCAAATACATATTCTTATAAATCACAATATTACACTGATTATGAAGGGGAAATTGGTTTGCCGCTACATAGCAGATCAAAACGAACAATGTAGGGGGCCCAGCCCCATGGCACAATGGTTAAGTTCGCACGTTCCACTTCAGCTGCCCGGGGTTCACTAGTTTGGATCCCGGGTGCGGACCTATGCACTGCTTATCAAGCCATGCTGTGGCAGGCATCCCACATATAAACCAGAGGAAGGTGGTGGGCACAGCTGTTAGCTCAGGGGCAATCTTCCTCAAAAAAAAAAAAAAAAAAGAGGACAATGTGGAGAGCCTAGGGGACTCCCTGGGGGCACTTCTTAATACTCTCTTGCTAACAGAATTGGCGGATGGAAAAATGCATCATTTCTCTAAAAACAAGACCATCAAGAAGACCTGATGTTAGCTACCTCACTTCTGCTCACATACCTTTGGCCACAGTTTTGCCCTATGGCTATAATTGGCTTCAAGGGAGGCTATGAAATATCATTATTTCAGGTTATCATGTGCACCCCTAAAATGTCTATTACTATAGAAAAAGGAAAGAAGAAATATTGACAGACCATTAGCAGTCTATGCCGTTGGTAGAAGAGCATGAGGGATGGGTTAGAAGAAAAGTAATAAATCAAAACACAATCTATACCACTTTGCCTAGGCAGTGAACAGAATTCGAGGGTAAAATAATACAGAAGACAGGAGAGAGACTTTCGGGGAAAATAAAATGGACAAGCAATGTCTATAACAGCTCCCTCTTCTTTAGACAATTCCCCACTATGAGCCTTAATAAAATTATCTTGTAAATTCTCACTCCCCTACTGTTTCCCTCTCCTCTACCATCCAATTAACAGTATTGTGTTTTTAGTGTTTATCTTTGTACTTTTAAATATATTTAATTTTCTACAAACTGGTTTACCAGCTTAAAACAGTCTTTTTGTCAGATATGACCTATAACGCAGTAAGCAAGCTTCCCATCTTCTCTTCTTCTGCTGTCTTCCCCCTTAGGTATGCAATTTCTATATTGTCACAGTAGATGTCACTTACATATTACCTTGTCATCCTTACTTCCAACTCTGTTTTTGATCTTAGACCTACAGTTTATTATAGTCAATGTTCACTGACAATCTTTTTGCCAAAGTTTCTACAATCATTTCTTGGTTGGATGAAGGTCATCCTCTAGCTCCTCAGGAAGGATTCACGGGCTTGCTGTTCCCTGAGTTCTTACCTAGACAAACCTGTTTGTCTCTAGCCTTCTACTCTTGAAGGACCAAGAGGCTCCAGAGAAACGCTCACATATCCACGCTCACACATCATTTCCAGGGCTCTTTCATTGGTGTATCTCCACTCTTTTCTGGCATGAGACATTCTTCTGAGACGGCCGATGCCAACCTGTTATTCCTTTAAAGTGACAGTCTTTTTGCATGGCTGCCAGTGCATTCTCTATCTCTACAGTCCAATTATAAATTGGACTATATTATAAATATAATTTATATGTATATTTCTGTTCTACTGCTTTATATTACTCTTTGAGGAACTCCAATTACACATACATTGAAAATCCATTGCCTATCTTCTGTATGTATCTCCTTCTCTCTAATCTTTAAAAATCTCTATTTCTGTTTACTTTTTTGGCTTTTATTTATATTTTTAGATTTCTTATTTTGCTTTCTACTGTGTGGATTATCCCTGTGCGTCCTGTAATCTAGCCTTCACTTCTGAAGTTATTTTGTGGTGTTCTTCCTCTCTTGATTGGGTTACTTTACATTTCACATCCTCTTTTGGAAGCGCATGTTGAAATGTCGTGTAGCAACATTCCTCTGCTTCACGGCCATATTTCCCTGGTGAGTCTATTATTCTTTTGCTAATATATTGCACAATATATTAAATCAACTTAGAAATTAGTCTTCAGATGAATGAATATTATTAATGGTTTTCTACTTGGAATAGTTGCCTTTCAAGGTAACTGAGTTATGTATCAGTCAGTAGAAAGGTAAAATATTGCCTTTTGACCAGAATACTACATATATATATATACATAAACACACACATAAGAATACAGAATACTATTATATATGTGTATATATATATATATATATATATATATATATATATATACTATAAACAACTAAGTAATTTAAATAAATGTTTAGAGTATTTCATTTTTCTATCAAATGTTTTCTCTTTCTAAAAATATTGTGACTGAGAAAAAGGCACCTCGAATTTTGCTGGAATGGCTTCAGTTGTAGCCATGTGCTAGAGCTGGCGTATACTGGCTCACAAGAGCCACATGTTAAATTTTCAGGGGTGTTGGGAGCCTGTTGACATCACAGCTTCATTAGGTAGCTTGAAATTGGCCATGCTGGGACTGTTCGCCATGAAATCAACTCTCAGATTAATGGTGCAATTCATACTATTCTTTGTTAAATTTAAAGAGCCATGAGTTCTTGAATTCTTTATAAAAAAATGTAGTGCTGTCATGGTTTATTGCTGTTCAAGTGTGGACAAAGAAGGAAGTATCAACAATTCTCTTCTAGCTTAGCAAAGAAAACCTACTTCTAAGTTTTAAAACATTGAATGTCAATATAAATAGCAAGGCAAAAGAAGAAAAGTGTTAATTAATAGGACCCATCAGACTTAAACTTTTCAGAAGTTCCTTTCACAGAATATAGCAACAGGTCTGAAGCAAGTCATCTTACAAGGTTCCATTGTTAGAAATAATACTTTTATGATGCAGAATAGTCATTCTTCTTCTGAAACGGCAGGGGCAGAAGGAATACTTTATCAATTCCTCCTAGATTGAGGTCTTCCTTTCAGTTGGAAAGCGTCAGAATATACAGATGTTTCTGCGCCCTGGAAGCCAGACAGAGCAGCAGATTGTTGAAAATGGCTGGCTCAGCTACCCTTGGATTGATCCCAAACACAATGATTCTTTCGAGGCCTGAAAATCGACGAATGCTGTCCAGCAGGATGTGACTGGCCAAAATGGATGCATCATTGATCTCAGACACTTTCTTCTTCTTCATTTCTTTTAGGAACTTATCTTTATATTTTTCCACTTCGCTTGCTTTGCTAAAAAGCACAGCAATATCCTTCGGGGAATAGCCATTCCTCAAGAAAAACCTGCACTTCTCTGCTACCTGGACCACCATCTGCTCCAAGTCCAAACACGCCACAATCTTCAAGTTGCCTCGAACACCCTGAGCCCACTGAGCTTCATGGAGCATCTCCAGGGACCCAGGAGGGATGTTAAATGGAGGGTTCTTTATGATTACCTGCATTACTTTTTGTAGGTAGTTGGCTATTGGATCTGCATTGCGGACCACTCTGGTGAGCTCTTCTCTTGGATACTGGACTGAGAAATGGGGGAGGCCATTGTCAACCAAGTGGCTGGTCTGAAAGTAGTCCAGAAAGATCCAGAGAATCCCTGGGTGATCCTTTTCTCTCTGAGTTATGGTTTTTGCCTTCCCATACCAATTCCCATCTTCAGTGCGGAAATTCTGAGCTTCATCGATGATGATGTGTTGAATCTCTTTGAAGTTATTTTTCATGAAGGTTTTCCGGGTCACTGCCTGGCAGATCCTTTTATTACTGCAAAAATTAAAATGACACACTCAGGTTTTCTCCAAGTGAATAAAGGAGGAAAACTACTCTATCACGCTCCTCAGAACACGGTACTGTTGTCCCAGATCATTTTACCACCTAACTCTCAAGGAACAAGGTGATTCTGGTTGAGGGGGGTGTGGAGTGAATTCAGACCGAACCTCACTGGGTGACAATAGATCCTACTGCTTACCTGATAAAGTCCCTCAGAGGCTGGTTCTCACAAACGTAGAGAATTTTATTTGCTTCACAGTGAAATGTATTCCTTATCTTCTCCATGATCTTCATGGCCATGATTGTCTTCCCTGAGCCAGGTAAGCCATGGACAAACAATTCTCTGTTCTTGCGGAGGTTTTTTGAGAAGATCTCATACTGTTGGGCTGTGAGCAGGTTTAAAACCTCACAACCGAGCTGGTCACTCAAGAAAGATCTGAAGCTCAGCAGAACAATCACAAGGGACTGCAGCAAGGCTTCCATTTGTTGGGTGTCTGCAAGGTTATAGGATGTGGGGTAATCAACTGGAGAGCCGGAACCGGACAAGGGCTCTGCATGGCTCTCAGGACTCAGGCAGAAGACCTTGGTCATGACACACAGCTTCCCGGTGTAGCCCCCCATGTTCACCAGCTTCTGCTTCAGAGTGAAGGCAGTGCGGGTGCAGTAGAACTGCCCGTCCACATCCTGCTCCCTGAGAACGCTGTAGAGAATGGGGGAGCTGTTCTGTGCTATCAGCAGAGCATCACAGATGACTCCCTGCTGCTCTTGCAAGTTCAGGTCCACGGCCCAGCTTCTAGAGAAGATCAAAATTCCCTGCGAGAAAGGACGCATTTGCTCATTGATTAATTCCTCCAGACCTTCATGCTCTGAGGACAGCTCCTTCCAGAGGGATTCAGGAGTATATTGCAGATGTCCTGGTGGCACTAGACATGGAAAGAATTTAAAAGATTTAAAAAGTACTGTTTGTATTATTTTGTATAAATCACATATTACATTTAAAAGGGAGTGTAAGGCCCCCAAAATAATTGTAGAATTTAAGGCAAATTCCTTCTAGCACACCTCTCTTTAACCCGCACCGTACAAATCTGGTGAATTGAAGAAGTCACCCTTCTACGTATCTCATGAAGGAGAGAGTGCCAACTAAAATGGAATTTATTGAGCCTGAGAAAGCAAAAACCATGTATTCAGTTACTCTTGCCTCTCATATTCTTATTGTAGAATGTTAAAAAAAACAAAAACAAAACCTTTATGGTAAGCTAAGGACTATAAAGATCTCAGTTAAGTAAAGAAACTATTTGATTGAAAATGGATGTAAGGTAGGTCTAATATAGCAATTAGCAGGCCCTTGATAAATGTTTAGCTGCTTATAGGACATTTGTATATCATATTCTACTGTCAGATCTTGCACTTCTATATTTTTTTCTCGGATTCTCTGTTTTGTTTTTTTTAAAGATTGGCACCTGAGCTAACAACTGTTGCCAATCTTCCTTTTTTTTTTCCTGCTTTTTGTCCCCAAATCCCCCCAGTACATAGTTTCATATTTTAGTTGTGGGTCCTTCTAGTTGTGGCATGTAGGATGCTGCCTCAACATGGCCTGACAAGTGGTGCCATGTCCACGCCCAGGATCTGAACCGGAGAAACCCTGGGCTGCCAAAGCGGAGCGTGCGAACTCAACCACTCGGCCACAGGGCTGGCCCCTCTCTGTATTTTTATATTCTGTCCAGGTGAAAATTTTAACTATTTTTACTGGTATCATTCTTCCATCCCTAAAAAAGCCCACCAAAGCTGGGCAATTACTCTATTTTCACCCAGACCTAGTGTTTTGCCTACAGTTGGACTAGATCAGCGGTTTCCAAACCCAGTGGAGCTCAGAATCATTTGGGAAGCTTGTTCGAATGCACATGCCCAAGCCCCATCCCCGGAAATGAAATGTGTGAGTTTTTGGTGGGGCCTAAGTGCTTCTGCACGCTTAACTACCTCGTGCACTCTTTCTGATAATCAGCCAGATTTGGCAACCGCTAAGCTAGACGATTTCTAAGGGGCTCTGATACTCATCCCCAAGAGGACTGTGGCATTGTCACTTTATACACCTGGATTTACAGAAACACAGTCTTACATGGATTTATTTTTAACCGAATGTATTCACTTATTTCCCTTTCTCCTTATGTAAAAACTGGCGATTAGAGGAGAATTCCAAGATGGCGCCGTGAGTAGTCCTCTTTGTCTCTCGCCCTTCGAGTCTACAATTATTTGGACACTTATCGCTTGACAAAGGATATCCAGACAGCATCTCAGGACGTCTGAGACACCCACGCGACTATACATCGGAAGGTGGACGGACTTTCCTCCGGGAGGATGTGGAAATAGGTGAAAACTCTCCGACCCCGACGGGCAGCCTAGTACCCACAAGCGGCTTTCTTCCAACAGACGCCCCCAGAGGATCCACACACATCTAGGGCAGGAGCGACGGTGGAAACTGGTGACCAGAACCCTACTTAAACCCCCCGCAATTACTCCTAAACGCAGAGGGAAACTTTGGAGTTGCACACCTGAGCCCGCGGGGAGAGTCTCTCCCCGCCATTGGCGGGGAGACCCGGCCTGGTGCTCGGGGCGCCCGGAGGGTCCCAGAGAGACGCCCGCCCCGGGGGACTAGGGATTGCCGGAGATCTCGGAGAGGACCGGGGCGGGGGAACTTTCAAAGGCCGGATCGGCGACCCGGAGGGGAAGCGCCGGAGCTCCGCCAGGCAGCAGACAAAACTCTCTGTCTGCCGGTAGCAGAGGGGCCACGCTGAGCACTCAGGGCTCCCGGCAGAGGCCCGGAGAGAAGCCCAGAGGGCGGGGCGACCCCCAGCTGCCGTTGCCCGCCCCGTGGGACTAGGGATTGCCGGAGATCTCGGAGAGGACCGGGGCGGGGGAACTTTCAAAGGCCGGATCGGCGACCCGGAGGGGAAGTGCCGGAGCTCCCCCAGGCAGCAGACAAAACTCTCTGTCTCCCGGTAGCAGAGGGGCCACGCTGAGCACTCAGGGCTCCCGGCAGAGGCCCAGAGAGAAGCCCAGAGGGCGGGGCGACCCCCAGCTGCCGTTGCCCGCCCCGTGGGACTAGGGATTGTCGGAGATCTTGGAGAGGACCGGGGCGGGGGAACTTTCAAAGGCGGGTCCGGCGACCCGGTGGAGAAGCGCCAGAGCTCCGCCCGGGCAGCAGACAAAACTCTCTGTCTGCCATTAGCAGAGGGGCCACGCTGAGCATTCAGGGCTCCCGGCAGAGGCCCGGAGAGAAGCCCAGAGGGCGGGGCGACCCCCAGCTGCCGTTGCCCACCCGGTGAGGCTAGGGATTGCCGGAGATCTCGGAGAGGACTGGGGCTGGAGAGAGTTCCAGAGACCCAGCTTAGTAGCCTAGGGGGAAACCCTACAGGCTCACAGAAGCCTTAGGGAAAGCCTCTGCACAGCATCAGTAGAAGGCACCCAGCCGCCAGCCACAAGGCTGGAAGACCCCAGGGCAAAAGCAGCATAGCTAGGTGTACTAACCACAGACTGTAGAAGATGCCAATAGCTCTCCTGCGACCCATAGAGGACAAGTGAGATTTGGTGGGTGCCGACAGCAACCGAGCGACAAATAAAAGTGATCCCACCCCTGGCCGCTGGAAAAGCCCATAACACCGTTGCAGACCCCAAGGAGAGAGCGCATCTAGGTGGGCAACAACAGTAGGCACCTGCAGCCTGAAGCCCCCCGTGACGGCCCCCACGGCAGAGGAGGGAATCCAAAGGGCCACTGTGGCTACGAAGAGGGGCCCAGGCCCAGTTAGCAACTACGGACAGGGTTCCTGGTTGGTGAAGTATAAACAGCTGCTCCCCCCACCGCAGCAGCTGAAACAAGTGAAAGGAGCAACTAAACTCTATCTCCATGCGGAGGCACAAATCAACATCATCAAGCAATATGAAAAAATACATTAAATCTCCAGAACAGAAAGAAAGTAACAAATACACAGAAATCAATCCCAAAGAAAATGAGATATATAACCTAAATGATGATGACTTCAAAACAGCCATCATTAAAATACTCACTGAGTTAAGAGAGAATTCTGACCGACAACTCAACGAGTTCAGGAGCTATGTCACAAAAGAGTTTGATACGATAAAGAAGAACCAAACAGAAATACTGGAAATGAAGAACACAATAGAGGAGATTAAGAAAAATCTAGATGCTCTGAACAGTAGGGCCGATAATATGGAGGAAAGAATTAGCAATTTGGAAGATGGCAATATAGAATTGTTGCAGGCAGAGGAGGAGAGAGAAGCAAGACTTAAAAGAAATGAAGAAACTCTCTGAGAATTATCAGACACAATTAGGAGATGCAACGTAAGGATTATAGGTATACCAGAGGGAGAAGAGAAGGAGAAAGGGGCAGAAAACCTATTCAAAGAAATAATGGCTGAGAACTTCCCAAATCTGGTGAGGGAGATGGATCTTCAGGTGACAGAAGCCAATAGATCTCCAAACTTTATCAATGCAAGAAGACCAACTCCACGGCATATAGTAGTGAAGCTAGCAAAAGTCAACGACAAGGAGAAAATATTAAGGACAGCCAGGCAAAAGAAACTAACCTACAAAGGAACCCCCATCAGGCTATCAGCAGATTTCTCAGCAGAAACTTTACAGGCTAGAAGAGAGTGGAATGATATATTCAAAAATCTGAAGGACAAAAACCTACAGCCGAGAATTCTCTACCCAGCGAAAATATCCTTCAAATACGATGGAGAAATAAAAACTTTCCCAGATAAACAAAAATTAAGGGAGTTCATTGCCACAAAACCTCCTCTTCAGGAAATCCTCAGGAAAACCCTCATTCCTGAAAAATCCAAAAAAGGAAAGGGGCTACAAAACCAAGAGCAGAGGAGATAAGTAGAAGGACAACAACAGAGAGTAGCAGCTCTACATCAGAACAGATTAAACCATGGGACGAGAAACAAAGGAAACTGAAGAAAACCGGAAAACAAGACACAAAATGGTAGTGGTAGGCCCCCACGTCTCAATAATCACTCTAAATGTAAACGGATTGAACTCCCCAATCAAAAGACACAGAGTGGCAGGATGGATCAAAGAACAAGATCCAACAATATGCTGCCTCCAGGAAACACACCTCAGCCCCAAAGACAAACACAGACTCAGAGTGAAGGGATGGAGAACAATACTCCAAGCTAATAATGAACAAAAGAAAGCAGGTGTCGCTATACTAATATCAGACAAGGTAGATTTCAAAGCAAAACAGATAAAGAAAGACAAAGAGGGACAGTATATAATGATAAAAGGGACTCTCCACCAAGAAGACATAACACTTATAAATATATACGCACCCAACACAGGAGCACCAAAATTTGTAAAGCAACTCTTAATAGAACTAAAAGAAGACATCAACAACAATACAATAATAGTAGGGGACCTCAACACACCATTAACACCAATGGACAGAACATCCAGACAGAAAATCAACAAGGAAATAATAGAATTAAATGAAAAATTAGACCAGATGGACTTAATAGATATATATAGAACACTTCATCCAAAAACAGCAGGTTACACATTCTTCTCAAGTGCACATGGAACATTCTCAAGGATTGACCATATTTTGGGAACCAAAGCAAACATCAATAAATACAAGAGAGTTGAAATAATATCAAGCATCTTTTCTGATCATAACGCTATTAAACTAGAAATCAACTACAAGAAAAAAGCAGAGAAAGGTGCAAAAATGTGGAGACTAAACAACACGCTTCTCAACAAACAATGGATCATTGAAGAAATTAAAGAAGAAATCAAATATTATCTGGAGACAAATGAAAATGAGAACACGACATACCAAATCATTTGGGATGCAGCAAAAGCAGTCCTAAGAGGGAAAGTCATCGCAATACAGGCTCACCTCACTAAACAAGAAAAAGCTCACGTAAGCAACCTCAAACGACACCTAACAGAACTAGAAAAAGAAGAACAAACAAGGCCCAGAGTCAGTAGAAGGAGGGAAATAATAAAAATAAGAGCAGAAATAAACGATATTGAAACAAAAAAGACAATAGAAAGGATCAATGAAACAAAGAGTTGGTTCTTCGAAAGAATTAACAAAATTGACAAACCCCTAGCCAGACTCACCAAGAAAAGAAGAGAGAAATCGCAAATTAATAAAATCAGGAATGACAGAGGAGAAATCACAACAGATACCAATGAAATACAAGAGATCATAAGAGAATACTATGAAAAACTATATGCCAACAAATTGAACAACCTGGAAGAAATGGACAAATTCCTAGACTCCTACAATCTCCCCAAACTGAATCAGGAAGAAATGGAGAATCTGAATAGACCAATCACAAGTAAGGAAATAGAAACGGTAATCAAAAACCTCCCCAAAAACAAGAGTCCAGGACCAGACGGCTTCTCTGGAGAATTCTACCAAACATTCAAAGAAGACTTAATACCTATTCTCCTCAAACTGTTCCAGAAAATTGAGAAAGATGGAGAACTCCCTAACACATTCTATGAAGCCAACATCACTCTGATCCCCAAACCTGACAAGGACAACACAAAGAAGGAGAACTACAGGCCGATATCACTGATGAACATAGATGCAAAAATCCTCAACAAAATTTTGGCAAACCGATTACAGCAATACATCAAAAAGATTATACACCATGATCAAGTGGGATTTATACCAGGGACACAGGGATGGTTCAACATCCGCAAGTCAATCAACGTGATACACTACATTAACCAAAATGAAAACCAAAAATCACATGATCATCTCAATAGATGCAGAGAAAGCATTCGACAAGATCCAACACCCATTTATGATAAAAACCCTCAGTAAAATGGGTATAGAAGGAAAGTACCTCAACATAATAAAGGCCATATATGATAGACCCACAGCCAACATCATACTCAATGGACAAAAGCTGAAAGCCATCCCTCTGAGGACAGGAACAAGACAAGGGTGCCCACTTTCACCACTCCTATTCAACATAGTTCTGGAGGTGCTGGCCAGAGCAATTCGGCAGGAAAAAGAAATAAAAGGAATCCAAATAGGTAACGAAGAAGTAAAACTCTCGTTGTTTGCAGACGACATGATCTTATACATAGAAAACCCCAAAGAATCCACAGAAAAACTATTAGAAATAATCAACAACTACAGCAAAGTAGCAGGGTATAAAATTAACGTGCATAAATCAGTAGCATTTCTATACACTAACAATAAACTAACAGAAAAAGAACTCAAGAACTCTATCCCATTCACAATCGCAACGAAAAGAATAAAATACCTTGGGATAAACTTAACCAAGGAAGTGAAGGATCTATACAATGAAAACTACAAGACTTTCTTGAAAGAAATAGGCGATGACATAAAGAGATGGAAAGACATCCTTGCACATGGATTGGAAGAATAAACATAGTTAAAATGTCCATACTACCTAAAGCAATATACAGATTCAATGCTATCCCAATCAGAATCCCAAGAACATTCTTCACAGAAATTGAACAAACAATCCTAAAATTCATATGGGGCAACAAAAGACCGCGAATTGCTAAAGCAATCCTGAGCAAGAAAAACAAAGCCGGCGGAATCACAATCCCCGATTTCAAAACATACTACAAAGCTACAGTGATCAAAACAGCATGGTACTGGTACAAAAACAGGTCCACAGATCAATGGAACAGAATTGAAAGCCCAGAGATAAAACCACACATCTATGGACAGCTAATCTTCGACAAAGGAGCAGAGGGCCTACAATGGAGAAAAGAAAGTCTCTTCAACAAATGGTGCTGGGAAAACTGGACAGCCACATGCAAAAGATTGAAAATTGACCATTCTTTTTCACCACACACCAAAATAAACTCAAAATGGATCAAAGACCTAAAGATTAGGCCTGAGACAATAAGTCTTTTGGAAGAGAATATAGGCAGTACACTCTTTGACATCAGTTTCAAAAGAATCTTTTCGGACACTGAACTCCTCAGTTGAGGGAAACAATAGAAAGAATAAACAAATGGGACTTCATCAGACTAAGAGCTTCTTCAAGGCAAAGGGAAAACAGGGATTGAAACAAAAAAACAGCTCACTAATTGTGAAAAAAATATTTACAAAGCACTTATCCGACAAAGGGTTATCTCCATAATATACAAAGAACTCACACTGCTTACAACAAAAAAACAAACAACCCGATCAAAAAATGGGCAGAGGACATGAACAGACATTTCTCAAAAGAAGATATGAATATGGCCAATAGACACATGAAAAGATGTTCATCATCGCTAATCATCAGGGAAATGCAAATCAAAACTACACTAAGATATCACCTTACCCCCGTTAGATTGGCAAAAACATCCAAAACCAAGAACGACAAATGTTGGAGAGGTTGTGGAGAAAGAGGAACCCTCATACACTGTTGGTGGGAATGCAAACTGGTACAGCCACTATGGAAAACAGTATGGAGATTTCTCAAAAAGTTAAAAATAGAAATACCCTATGACCCAGCCATCCCATTACTGGGTATCTATCCTAAGAACCTGATATCAGATATCTCAAGAGTCCGTTGCACCCCTATGTTCATTGCAGCATTATTTACAATAGCCAAGACGTGGAACCAGCCTACATGCCCAGAAACTAATGATTGGATAAAGAAGATGTGGTATATATACACAATGGAATACTACTCAGCCATAAAAAAAGACGAAATTGGCCCATTCACAACAATGTGGATGGACCTCGAGGGTATTATGTTAAGCGAAATAAGTCAGTCAGAGAAAGACGAACTCTATATGACTCCACTCATGGGTGGAAATTAGTATATTGAGAAGGAGATCTGATTGGTGGTTACCAGGGAAAAGGGGGGGTGGGGGGAGGGTACGGAGGGGGAAGTGGTGTACCCACAACATGACTAACAAAAATGTACAACTGAAATCTCACAAGGTTGTAATCTATCATAACATTAATAAAAAAAAAGATTAAAAAAAAAAAAAACAAAACAAAAAAAAAACTGGCGATTAATACCTGGAAATAAACGTTGTTGGAGATCTACTTTATGTTCCAGACTTTTCTTAGAATATACTGGTCTGCAACTTGGAGGCCTGTGAGATAGCTGAGATTCAAAAGCTTCGGTCAACTCTGAAAGAAAGCAAGCTCATCTTACTCTATGTGAGTTCATTCCTCACCACTGGAATAGGCCATACAAGCTGATGTCTGTGTTTCATTTAACATGGTACAATTCAGGAAACAAAGGCAGATTCTTCACTTGACTCAATGGCAAGCTTCCCAAAGATCCATTCAAGAGCCCTTCTTTTGAATCTGGAACGATGTTTCCTCATTCAATAGAATGCTCCCTCTTCTATGTTTTAATGGTTATTTGCTTGAACTGTAACGGCACTTAAAATAGTCTTTTTAAATTCAAATCATCATGTGTTTTACATCCCTGCACATGCACCCCACCAAAACAAACCTCAGCCAACACTAGCTCTTGTCTCCCAGAGCTGATCTCATGCTAAGCTGAGGCGCAAGGTAATCATTATTATGAGGCTCCAGCAAGCTCCAATTAGAGGATTTTAACCGAGGAATGAATTTCTAAATTACTTCCTTACTTTTTCTTTTGTGGGAAATCCCCCTTTACAAAATATCTAATTTTGGCTTTTTCTTACCCAACAAAATCTTCCCATATGTGAAAAGCATAGAGATTTAGAGAAAGCAAATTTTAGCATGTGGGAGGAGTTCAAAGTTATAGAGAATGAAGAAAGGACATGGAGATGCTATGGAGGGAGAAAACAACAGGGGAGGAAGAGCTTTCTCCCTCTTACCTGGACCCGTGTCCATCATCACGTCTACCCACTCCTCAGTCGTCAGGCTACAGACATGCTCGTCCTTCACCATCCATGAACTGGGAGCTTTTGAGAAAACCGGACAGCAGAATGGCTCCACTCTGATCACACAGAGATAACCATACAACTTTTCCCTGTGAAACACATCTATAATTTTGGTCTCATACCCCACTGGTGTTTGGGAAGAGCAAAAATGGACAACAGGCAACTTGGAAATTGCTTTTGCTATTAGGCTTTCCAAAGAGTCACGGTCAACATTTTCTTTAGCACAGCCCAGAACTTTCTTACTCTTATCATCCACTCCAATAAAAAGATAGCCTCCCCCACTGTTTGCAAATGCAGGGACGTACTCTGGAATTAGGCTTTTTAAATATCCTTGGATGTGCTTTGTAGAGAATTGTTTAAACTCTGTGAACCGGGACTCAGGAAAAGGCAAGACTTCACCATATTCAAATCTGTCTCTTTGGAAAACCTGGTGAGCAGGACGGGATTCAAGAATCTGATGTCCAGCTTTGGGAATTTCACTAGATGGAGATCCTTCATTAATAGGACTATTTTCTGCATCTCTTTTCTTGGTTTTCAGGAAAGTGAATGCTTCTCTTGAATCTATGGGAAGCACAGAGGTGCCAGATCTACGGTATAACGAAGTACCCAGGCTGCAAATGCGGGGCTTAACAGAACTGTCTTCAGGAAAAGTGTCACTGCTCCAAGATTTAACGAAAATGTAACAACACCTCCCTTGTTGCTTAGTCTCGAAGAAAGCATGCAGATCCGAAGACTGAATAAGCGCCCTCAAAGACTGTTCTAAATCCAGTCCCAGCTCCACGGGATGCTCATCCTCGTTTGCCATTTCCAGCCGAATCACTCCTCCGCCTGAGTTTAACAAAGCACATGCAGCCTGTGTAACTTTCGCCTTCTCTTGCTCTCTCTGAGTTTTCTGCAGCTTATTTCTGTTTCCTTCACCAAGAGTCACTGCTCCTATGTTGATGACCAAGTCTGGGTAAGGTGATTCTACCACCAGGGAGCAGTCGTCTGTCTTCATGTTGATCCAGCAGCTGAAACTATTGAAACACGTGTTTCATTTTAAGAAATAAATTGCTCCGAACACAATTCCTTCACCCATTTAGTAGAAAATATTTAATCTGTGTCCTGTATGAAATATTTAATCTGTGTCCTGCACTAGATGAGTGAGCAAAGCAGGAATAATCCCCTCTCTTTAGCAGCTGTCTGGCGGGAAAGGGGGCTAATTAAATGAGTATTTACAATCACGTGTGATGGGGATTACAGTAGGGGAAACACGTTGAAGGGTACCTGAACTAATCTGGAGGGGAAAGTTCAATAAGACTTCCAAGAGGTGGTAAGATTTAAGCCAAGACCTAAAGGATGCACTGGAATTGGCCAGGTGAAGTCATCAGTATTGAAGCAATGGGAGCAGGTGCGATCAGCTGAGGTGCGTGTCTACTATGGCACAAGAATGTCTCAGTTTAGAACAGATTTCCAATGAACATCAACTTTAAGAGATGGGTAAAAGAAAAAAAGACATTGCAAAGGAGACTCCAAAGAGGACTGATGTGAAAAACCAGAGAGGAGGGAGAAACACGGAGGGAATGTGGTTTTGAGGAAGCCCAGAACGAGGCCCCCCGCTGGGGTGTGAGGGAGTCTAACGCTGCTGAGACTTACCGCTGGGTGATGACTGGAAGGTGAGTCGTCACTACCTGCTGGCGCCTTCCACCAAATCAGTCCTGAAGGACCCACAGGCTGAAACACAGATGGAGAGACGCAGCAGAGCTCAGGGAGGAAGATGCAGATTTCCTGGGTTCAAATCCCAGCTCTGTCACTTAGCAGCAGCGTGATTTGGGGGCTACTTATTTCATCTCTCTGGACCTAAGTAAAATAGTGTTAATAGAACCTAGTTCACAGAATTGTTGTGAGAAGTAAATACGGTAATATTCATAAAGTAATTAAAGTATATGACACAAAGTAAGCCGATGCTAGACTTTGCTAGATAAACGTAGACAGAAACCTAGGAACCGGGGTGACGAGGTGGAGAGGGGTCTGTGAGAAAGTCCTGGGTGAAACGGACACTTGGTGAGTACCCAGTATAAGTGGAGCTCTTACTGCTCCTTCCATCGCTGTGGAAACCCGCGGCCACAACTCAGGCCTCCAGCGCAGGCGGCATCTATAGGGGTAAAACTGGGACCGCACAGACCGCCCGCCTGGGCAAAGAGGTGTGGGAAAAACAGGTGGGCATTGGCTAGCCTCAGGCAGAGGCTGAACAGAAGGGAAATGGGCTGTGATAGAATTAGCCTCTTGGGGAAACTAAAATAAAGGAGCTCTTTGCCATTCTTGCACCCTTCTATTTTACTTTACTGATCTTGTTGGGAGACATTTTTCTCAATTGTTCCTTCTTCTGCATTATAGCCTTTCTGTAGGGTAGCGGCAATTCTAATTCTGCTTTTTAGCTCTTGGATTAAGGACAATAATTTACAGCGGGTGATCGCTCACACCATCACCTGCAGAACTTATTTCCCAACGCTACAATTCCTGAAACTCTGGGACCCCAGGCCTGCCCTGGGATCTGCCCAAACCTCCCTCTCAGCCTCCGCAGAAACCCGGGCTAGCGCCTCCCCAGCCCCAGCAAGTTCGCGGCCAGGCCCGCCGCCCGCGCGCCTTCCCCTCCCTCCCAGCCAACCCCCGCGCCCCTCCGCCCTGTCTTCCACAGTCCGCCTTTTAGGCCATTTGCCGCCGAGTCTGGGCAAACAAGCCGGGCCTCCCAGGCAGGGCAGTAACCCAAAGATGTCGCCAGGGCTCAGCGGCTGCTTTCGTCGCTTGTCCCCCGCGCAGTCGGGGATCGGGCCGCACGAGATCCCTAGGTCGTGAGAGCAGCGGCAGCTCCGAGGACCTGGGCAAAGGAGCAGGGACCCTCTCCCACCTTTCCGAGGTCGAGCGCGCTCCAAGCCGCCGTCGCGTTTGCCGGAAGGGGCCAACGTCCGATCTTTATAGCCCGGCGGTTGGCGCCACCCCGGGGTTGTGCCACGTAGGAAACAGACCGGACCGATAGGCGTGTCTACTAAGCAGCGGGAAGTTTTGCCACAGAAAAGCCTAGAAATATTGAGCTTTCTGATTGCTTGCAGGGGATTCTTAGTTCCTTTGCTCCCGGCCCTTCCCTCCCTCCCTCCCTCTCCCAGCCCATCTCCATTTATCTTAATTACAGTTGGAGAATAAAAACTATTTAAGAGCGTCTCCGGGCCCAGCAGCCGTCCGGCTCCGGGGGCCGCCGGTCCTTCCTCGAGCCCCCAGCACTCCGGGCGCCGCCTGTCCCGCCTTCCTGGGAACCCTGTGACCCCAGCTTTTACCCTTCGAGCCCGCTTGAATCGCCCCAGGTCCCCACCGTCCCGGAAAGAGGGTCTTGGAAACAAGAAGCAAGAACTTGAGGCTCCGCTCCCCTTCCCGACCCTCGACGTCCGTCCCAAAGCACGCGGCGAAGCGGCTCGGGCTGCATTCGGTCCGCGGAGGGCCGGATCCCTGAGCCTGCGCGGCCGCGGCGGGGCCCCTCGGACGCCCTCGAGCAGCGGGATTTGGGGGCGGTTGCGGGCCGGGGGGGCGCCGGTGAACCCCGGTAGTTTGCAGCTGCTCGAATTACGAGGAAACGAACGTGCTTCTGACTCTTTCTGCACACCGCCAGGCGTCCCTCTGATCGCTCGCATCATTTCGTTGTCCTTTCTCTGGTGAACTCTCCATCCTGGGCTGAGCGCCTGCAACGGACGGGCCTCGCCCCAAGTGACCTGCCCGCGCCCCGGGCCATCCCGCTGTCCCTCCCTCACTGTTCTCGCTGGTGGGGAGTCACCCAAAGGCGGGAGCGGCTGTTAACACTCGTTGTCAGTGCAGGTCCCAGTGGAAGCAAAAGAAAGAAAACAAAACGCATCGCAGCACCCCTTCAGAGACTACGACTGACAACTGTTAACACCTTATTGTATATATATTAATTTTTTATCAATATATTGTATTATATTGGGATATATTGTATTGCAGATCATTATATGTATGTATAGATATATAATGTATATATGTTACACATATGTATATGTAACGCATTTTTATTAAAATGAGGTCATAATGTACCTATTGTTTCATAACCTGCTTTTTTCAGTCGATGACCTCCATCTCTCCATTTCAGTGAATTTTCATGTCTTCCCACACACAGATCATATTCAAGTTTTTCCATTCTTCTTTAAAATGTTGCTTACAAATGGTTTGTACAAACCTGTACCCAATCCAGGACCGGGCATCTATAAAGTGCTGAAAGGAAGAAAAGATCGTCAATCACACACATACACAGACACAAATCCTCCCAAATAGAAGCAAAATAATGACTTTTTCAGGCAAAAAAAAAATTTATTTAGGTTGAAGGAAAATGATACCAGAATGAAACTCAGATCTGCACACAAGAATGAAGAGCACCAAAGATAGTAAATATGTAGGCAAATACTAAAGATGATCTTTCTCAACGTTAAAAATTATTTAAAAGGTAATGGATTGTTAAAGAAAAAAATAATCTTGTATTGTGACTCATAACATAATGTAGAAATAAGTCATGATAGTAAAGCACAGACGACAGAAGGGGAAATGGATGTATTTTGTTGTAATATTCTTTTAAATTGTAAAAGCTAAAGATGCCTATGGTAAGCCCGAGAGCTACCAATATAAAAAATTAGAACAAAGATGTATAAATAATAAACCAACAAAGGAGTTTTCCTTATGATTCCTATTTTCTTTGTTTTTCACAAAAATCTTTCTTACCTCTTTTTGCTTTGTAGACATGCAGTTGACTTTGTATGCCGATTTTTCACCACCAACTTTGCTAAACTTTATAGTTAATTCTCATGATTTCTCTGTGTGTTCTTTTAGGTCATCCAAGAATACAAGAGTATCAAATGTGCATAATGATAGTTTTATTTCTTCCTTTCTAATCTACATAATTTTTTCTTCGCCAGGACTGCTGGTACAGGGCTAAAGGGAAAGAAGTGGCGCCCCAAGACACAACCTAACGATACTAAAATCCCATGTTTGGGAGTCTTTTTGCTGGGATCACTCTAGAAACCAACGTCTACACTAATCAGGGTTTTGTCAGCAGACTAGTTACTTTAAACAGAGGAATTTTAAAATAACGACTTATTCCCCAGTATAAAGACTTAAACTAGGGAATGGAAAAGACACAGAGGTAATAGTGAGGTATGATGGAGGCAACTACAGAAAACAGCCACCACTGCTGGGGCTGAGGGATCAAAAGGAGGGGCCCTAAGGCTAACACTGTGAGTGCGGGAGAAAACTAAGTAAAGGAGCTGTGGTTTTTATGGGAAAGTTTACAAAACTTTATTGAAAGATAATAAAGAACTGGAGTCATATATTATGCCCATGGATTGGAAGACAATATATTAAAGAGATCAGTTCTCCCCAAAGTGATGAGGAAATGTATTGAGATTCCACTTAAAATTCCAATAGTATTTTTGTGGAAATTTACATACTGATTAATAAATTTATAGCCAAGACACCCCTAAAAAGGATATAAATTTATATCCAAGAGACCCTACAAATGAAAAACAGGATGTGGGCAGATATCAAAATTTTTTTATAAAGCTATAGCAATTGGACAAAAAGATCAATGGAATAAAATATAGAGCACTTAGGCTGACAATTATTTATGGAAAATCTATGACAGAGTTGGCACTGTAGATCAGTGGCGAATGGAGAGAATATTTTATAAACTGTGCTGAGATATCTGGTGTCCACATAGGACACAAAATTAATTTGCATCTCTCACTCCAAAATCAATTCCAATGGAATAAAGATGAAAGGCAAAACCAGTAAATTGTTTTTTTTTTTTTCTGTGTACTTGCTCTTTTATTTCCATAGGTTAAATTTTTTGGAATTTCTGGCCAATTTATAAACATATCTTAAATTTTGATAACTGTTCTTAAACTGCTCTCCAGAAAGATTATACAAAGGGTATAGTTGACAAGAGTACCCATTTTTTGGTGTTAATTTTATTTATAGTTTTTCGGGTATTTTTCTTTTTTTGGCAATAGTGAAGTTTTTAATGTCGTTGTTGCAGGTCTGTCAGTCTTTTCTGTAGTGGTGTTTTAGCCTTTGCAGTCATGCTTTGAAAGTCTTTTGTGCTCCAAGATTATAAAGATATTCACCTAAAGTTTTCTGGTACATTAAGTTTTTGTTTTTGAATATTTATGGTTTAATATCTTTAAACTTGTTTTAAAAAAGATAATTACAGGATCTTTGTATTGGAGTCATTTTTATGGTAGAAAAATTTGAGGTACTTAAGAATTACTTTTTAGATAGTGTTAGTCTTAGCCAAGTTGTTGAAAACAGTTCTTATTTTTATTTTTCCTTGTTTTTGCTTTGCTGGTGCAAGGCCTAAAGTATGTACAAAACCTATCAGGTCTATACAATTAACCAGCTGTTCTTCGAGTACTCAGATTATACTTTTTTTTTTTTTCAATTACCTTATAGGTATGTACTTTTTAAAAATTTTTTTATTGAGTTATTGATAGGTTACAATCTTGTGAAATTTCAATTGTACATTAATGTTTGTCAGTCATGTTGTAGGTGCACCACTTCTCCCTTTGTGCCCACCCCCCACCCCACCTTTCCCCTGGTATCCACTAAACTGTTCTTGGTCCATAGTTTTAAATTCCTCATATGAGTGGAGTCATACACAGATTATCTTCCTCTCGCTGGCTTATTTCACTTAACATAATTCTCTCAAGGTCCATCCATGTTATTGCAAATGGAATGATTTTGTTCTGTTTTGCAGCTGAGTAGTATTCCATTGTATATATGTACCACATCTTCTTTATCCATTCGTCTGTTGATGGGCACTTAGGTTGCTTCCACGTCTTGGCTATTGTAAACAGTGCTGTAATAAACATTGGGGTGCACAGGACTTTTGGGATTGCTGACTTCAGGCTCTTTGGATAAACACCCAGTAGTGGGATGGCTGGATCGTATGGTAGTTCTATTTTTAGTTTTTTGAGGAATCTCCATACTGTTTTCCATAGTGGCTGCACCAGTTTGCATTCCCACCAGCAGTGTATGAGGGTTCCTTTTTCTCCGCAACCTCTCCAACATTTGTTGCTATTAGTTTTAGATATTTTTGTCATTCTAACGGGTGTAAGGTGATATCTTAGTGTAGTTTTGATTTGCATTTCCCTGATGATCAGCGATGATGAGCATCTTTTCATGTGCCTATTGGCCATCCGTATATCTTCTTTGGAGAAATGTCTGTTCATGTCTCCAGCCCATTTTTTGATTGGGTTGTTTTATGTTTTGTGGTTAAGTTGCGAGAGTTCTTTATATATTAAGGATAGTAAGCCTTTGTCAGATATATGACTTGCAAATATTTTTTCCCAGTTAGTGGGTTGTTTTTTTGTTTCAATCCTGTTTTCATTTGCCTTGAAGAAGCTCTTTAATCTGATGAAGTGCCATTTGTTTATTCTTTCTATTGTTTCCCTTGTCTGAGAAGGCATGGTGTCCGAAAAGATCTTTTTAATACTGATGTCAAAGAGTGTACTGCCTACGTTTTCTTCCAGAAGCCTTATGGTTTCAGGTCTCAACTTTAGGTCTTTAATCCATTTTGAGTTTATTTTTGTGAATGGTGAAAAAGAATGGTCAATTTTCATTCTTTTACATGTGGCTTTCCAGTTTTCCCAGCACCATTTGTTGAAAAGACTTTCTTTTCTCCATTGTATGTCCTCAGCTCCTTTGTCAAAGATAAGCTGTCCATAGATGTGTGGTTTTATATCTGGGCTTTCAATTCTGTTCCATTGATCTGTGCACCTGTTTTGGTACCAGTACCATGCTGTTTTGATTACTGTAGCTTTCTAGTATGTTTTGAAGTCAGGGATTATGATGCCTCCCGTTTTGTTCTTTTTTCTCAGGATTGCTTTAGCAATTCGGGGTCTTTTGTTGCCCCATATGAATTTTAGGATTCTTTGTTCTAATTCTGTAAAGAATGTCATTGGGATTCTGATTGGGATGGCGTTGAATCTGTAGATTGCTTTAGGTAGAATGGACATTTTAACTATGTTTATTCTTCCAATCC